CGATTGTGATGTTATAGGATAGGGAAAAAGAATCCTACAGAGATAACTTTTAAGTGGGATCCGCATTGTTTTTAAAAAAAAGAAAAAAAGAAATATGCATATTTATCGAAGAATCAGCAGGATACTTAATTCGCTGTTCATGTTCAGTAACATAATATCTAGAGGTGTTCATCAACCGATCCAAACCGCGAAAACTGCAAAAACCGAACTGAAAAATCGATAACCGAATAAACCGAAAACCGAAAAATCGGAAACCGAAAGAAAACCGCAAATTTTAATTAGATTGGATCGGTTTTCGGATGGGTTGATGAAAACCGATCCAATCCAAACTGATCTAATATATTAATTATCCTCTACCTACTTGTCTTTTTCTCCAATCATAGCCCAAAATTTTTTAAACTCAAGACCCATTAACTCATCAACTAAACCAAAAAAAAAACTTAGTCACCTCTCATCAACTATAGTATTGTTTACTAAAATTTTTGTATTTCAATTTTTTTTTTTACAAAGTCAATATATACAAAAGATGTTATTTGCACAATAATCACGAAACTAATTTTAGGATATTCAAAAAACCTAAAACCGATCCAATCCAAACCGAAAAAAATTGGATTGGATCGTATCGGATTTGAAAAAAAATCTAAACCGAATGGATGATTACATGATCAAACCGAAAGGATTGGATCGGATGAGTTTTACTTCCAAAACCGATCCAATCCAGACCGCAAACACCCCTAATAATATCTATATTTTCCCTTTATCTTAATTTCTTTATCTTAACATATCTTTTTTTTTTTTAGAGATATTGATATATTAGGTTAATTTCTTCTCATCTTTCTCTTTCGTATTATAACCCTTCTATCCCTTTTCTTCTTCTTCTCTATTTTTTCTTGTTTTCTTCTTCTCCTCCTCCCTTTCTTCACCAAACATTATATTCGTTTCTTTTTCTCATAACCATAACAATAACCGTTTTTGGAAAGTTTGAACATGATTTTATCGCCAAGCTCAAAATCAACGATGAGAAAATCAAAAACGAAGACAAACAAATTGAAGAGGAGGTAAAAGAAGATGACGAAGAGGAAGAGTTTTACGTTGTCGGCGGCAACATCTCCGATGACGGGAGTGCCAGATGGGTCTTACTGCGAGTGGTTTTCGCAAACGGCGGTCAAGAGCAACTCGATGGGATTCTCGAAGCTGTGGAGATTGCGGGGTTTGAAACTCCGGAGCAACAGCGACGTTAAGGATACCTTCATGTTCTTGAATCTTGCGACGGAAGCAAAAGCGAAAAAGGCAAGATCTAATGAAGGTAAAAACATCGTCGCAAACCAAATACTGATAGCTCAGTTGACGCATGGGAGCTAAGCATGTGGGGATGAGAACGTGTGTTCGAATCTCTCGCTTTTGGGAGAAGTTTAAAACCTTAATCCTGGACTCGCTCCGAATCGAATTAATTGTAAAACAATGAACCTATTGAAATATTTTCAAAAAAAAAAAAAAAAACATCGTCGTAAAGAAGGTGAAGGGGAAAACGGTGTTGTCAACACACGAGAAGCATTACGTGATGAATAGAGCGAAGAAAGAGAGTTATAAATGCAAGACTATTTGCCGTATAGGCAAGAACTGTTTGCTTTCTTTGCCAATGCCAACGAATTTAGCAGGAGTGTTCATCTTTATATTTTCTGGACATATCTTATCAATTTTAACATCATGTAAAATATTTGAAAAAATTATATAATTTCTTTATTAAAGGATAATTTTTGTCAAAAATATTTATTTTTATCCTATCTAGTATTATACAGTAAATTACCACACATGGGTTAGTATTATTTTATACAATACATTATCTTATAAATACTATGTCAAACGCTTGACACTATTAAAATTTAATCAAGTCTTATATAATAAGATTTTTTACTATCAAACTTTATCTTATCCTATACACCAAACATGCCCTAATTAAGATACTCATTCTGCATTGATTTTACGTACCAAAAATTATATGGCTTAAAAGTCATTCTACACTCAAAGTTATCACACATTAATGAATTAAGAACTGCCATTTCATTTATCACAATTTATTTTATTTCTGATGTGAACCTATCCCACACGATATTATAGACCCAACCAATAATAGGTCCAAAGGGTACAAAAGACTATTATTTAGTGAAGAAGGAAAAATATGCATCCTGCGTATCTTGACAATCCCGCAACCACCTGACACTCATAATCAATTGCAGTTATACAACATCAGCTGCTCAAAGCACCCTGACCCCATAAAACCCATTGGCTTAAAGACCTGCATATCGCTACATCTATAAAGGCTTAGCCTGACTGTAGGCATCTTGCCCAGAGAATAGTATGTGAAGATTATCATTCTCCACCAATAGAAATTAACACCGCCATATTAAGGCGACATAAGCAGGATATTTATTTACTATAAATACATAGGCATTGAGTCCATATATGATCATCTTCCTCAATACTTGAATGCCTTGAATACATAATTACTTGAGTGTCGCAGTGCTTTGGAGGTACCCACCACCAATCTCCTCAAATTACTCCAAAGCACTAGATCTAGCCCAAGCATCTCTCAAAGCATGTCATCATTCAATCAAGCATCCCGCCAACAAAATATCAACCCAAGAACAACTCAACAGTGTGTGATCTAGTCCAATAGTTATTGGATGGATCATTGGTGTTGTCTTTCTCTCATCAGTTTTGAGAAATTATTATTTTATTTTATTGTTTTAGGAAATTGGCAGGCCCAGTGGAGAAGGAGGTTGCAAGTGCAGGAGTAGGGGATGAAGTTGTTTCCTTGGAACTTCATGGTTCCTGCTCCACCTGGTTGGAAAAAGAAGCTCCCACTTCTGGTTCCTTGTTTTTCTCTCTTCTTTGACTATTCAATTTAGGGGAATTTGCATGTCATGTTTTCGTAATTGCTCGTTTCCTCTCTAATTTTGATGTGGGTTTCGTTTATTTTGCGACTTGCGCTGGTTAGATGCTGAGCTGATGCTATTAAATGACATTGTGTTCTACTTTCTTTTTCTTATATAATCGATTATTATAATATTTATTTTTGGGACAGGTTATATTTATAAACTTTTTTATTTACAAACTACACTATGTAGGACCGGTCCTACATTAATCACACAGTGTACGACCGGTCTTACATTAGTGTAATTGCAAATAAAGTTTGTAAACCGATCTTGTCCCTTTATTTTTATAAAATAATGTTACAATTTTGCAATGTTAGTATTTATTCAGTTTAAGAACATAATTAAACTAAATTGAGTTATTAAGATTATAAATATGATTTTTTTCTAACTGAAATGCTAATATAATAAATGATATTAGATTATATTATTATTTTTATAATTTTTAATAAAAAAATTTAAATTTATATTTACTTATCTGGTTTAAGCAGTTCGACCAGTGACTCACTCATCCGGTACCTCGATCGAGTTGATGACCGGTTCGAATTTTATAACATTAAATAAAACATTAGAAGTTGTTAAGTTTGGTTAGACCAATTTCAAACGTAAATAGCTAACAATACAAGGGGAGCCTCCCACTTAGAGGTCGTTTGTATTGACTTATGAAGAAAGTTCTTTTTATCACTTCCTTATTTTAAAAGTACTTTTTATAAAAGTTACAGTTATTTAGATTTTAAAAAAAATATTTATTTTTTAAAAAAATATTTGACTTTTGACTTTTGCTTTTTTTAAAAGCTAAAATTTTTAGCTTTTGAAAAAAAAGTAGATTTTTGACTTTTTATATGACTTCTGCTTTTTTAAAAAACAGGCATCCAAACAGACTTTTTCGAGAAGTGCTTTTTTTATAAATAAAAAAAGCAGCTTCCGAAGAAAAAACAGCTTCTAAAGAAAAGAAAAAAAGTCCATCCAAACGGACTGTTAGTACATTTCCCATAACACTTGAATATTACAGCAAGCTGCACTCTAACTCGCCTCTTTGACACTAAAGTCAGGTACCCGTCTCTTTGACGTTAAAGTCGGGTGGGCTACGAAAGCCTGTTGAAGGATATCACCACCAATAAACTAAATTACATTAATTGTAGATGAGTTTGACATCATATCTCCACTCAAAATCTTAAGACATTAAATTTTTGGGTCCTATAATTTTTATACACTTTACTTAGCTCGTTACAAATCACTATAAGACTTCGTCACATTTCAATATCCCAATAAAAATATCTCATGTAATATGTAGAAAATACTCTTACGCAAACAAATAATTTTCAGTGACATACGTTTACATTATTGACTTTCAAGTACTAACTTGCTAGGATATTAAAACATTGCCAAAATAAGAGAATATGGCTTAACATGTTAGAATTTTTTGAACAATTTCTTCAACAAGTAAGCCTGAAATTTTTATGTTATAATTTTATATAATCCCAATTTATTTTTACTTACATAACATACTAATTGTATTTATTTACGTATGTCTTATTATATTACAAAGTTACGTATTCATTTTATCCAAAAAAATGCAAAATCGATAATCATTCTAAACATATAATAATATTGAGTGCTAAGTAATTAATTTGAGAGATGATTGACCATTTTGCCAATGTTTTAACAAAAATTTACGATTTTGTTCCATTTTCCAAAAACTATACATTAATTTATCCCTTCCCAAAATCATATATTTATTTATCCTTATTTGAGCAATGTTTGACGAACACTTAATCAAGTAAATGGACAGATTAGTGAAAATATAGTCGAACAGGATAGATTAACATATAATTTGAGAAAGGGACAAATTGATATATCATTTAAGAATGGAATAAAATGGTAAGTCACTTTTAAACAAGGGATAAAATGGTCAATTAACTATATGTGATAGAAAGATACATACTTGTAATCATTTCATTTATTTTAAAGATAAAAACCTGCTACTTATGCAAATTAAAGTTCTAACATTTAAAAATCTAAGCTTCTTTAGATAAGTATATTAAGAGGAGGGCCAAAACAAATTGTTCAGTCCTTAGTCTTGCTTCCACATTTCTTCTCTTCTTCTGACTGAAGGAGGTCTTCCAACACCTTGTTATCCAAATACTCAAACTCAATAACTTCCCTCTGTTGTGCATAAGAAGAACTTACAATGGCAGCATTAGAAGAAGAAGATGATGGTGATGATACTGAAGGTAGATGAGAACAGAACTCATCAGGAAAATTTAGGATTGCAAGAGCACCTCTCAAACCAATGGCTGCTTGATCATAAGCTTTAGCTGCTTCTTCTGCTGTATTAAATGTCCCCAACCACTGTCTTCCCGTAGGCTTTGTTGGGTCTCTAATCTCTGCCCCATACTTCCCCCATGGCCTCCTTCTAACACCACGGTACCTCACTTCTTCCCCTTCCTTCTCTTTCTCTTGCCCCCCCTTATGTCCCTCCTCCATGTTACTTTCTCTTTTGCTCATAAAAACTTTGGTCTCTCTTTTTTATTACCCTTTTCTTCGCATTCTGTTTGGTGGGTTAATGTTATGTTTATGCCTTACATGTATGAAAATATATAGGTAGCCCTATATCTGAAAAATGTTTCACGTTTGAGCTTTTAGTTTGTCAGTAGAAGAATGCCTATTGACTTGATTTTTTGCAGTTTTCGCAAGAAGTGTATAAATTCGATTCTTCGACTCGGCTTATATTTTGGAATGATCTGGAATGAAAATATATGGAGAGGGTAAAATGTGTTGAGATATATAGTCTCGTATTGGTTGTATCACGGAGTTTATAAGGTTTTGGGCACTCCACTCTTTGAGTTAGCTTTTGGGTGGTATATCTCAAGGTTCTTTAAGCCCGTCCCCCACTTTAAAGTGGAATAAAAATAAAAAGCACAAAAAAAGGTAAACAAAAAATTGGGCTTGTGCACCTTGAGCACTCTCACCCTTTGAGCTAGCTTTGGGGGTGGTGCATCCCAAAGTTCTTTACAAAATGCACAAATTTTATGGTATATGTTCGTGACTTAACATGGAACGTTAAGAGTTTTTTTTTTTTGCGGTAATTTAATTTTTTTTCTTACAAATTTTATTTAAATCATTGTATAATAATATTATAAATTTGTTTGATTCTTTATTGTATGGACCAACTAATATATATGTATGGGATTGTATTTGGTCATGTTACATTGGTGGGTCCACTGTTTAAATAAAAAAACAAAAAATAAATTAAACAATTAAACAGTGGATCCACCAACTTTGTATCTATAACATGATGTAACTTGTGTGATATAACATGATAATTACATTTCCCTATATGTATTGGTCTGACAAGAAAAATAAAATTGTCATACGAATAGATGGTGATGGAGACTTTTTTTTATGTTCATTGAGAACACACAAAAGTTCACCAGTTACAATTTATTTTTCTTTTCGGCTTTTCCTATTTTATTCTCTTTTACTTTTTACCTTTCATCTATAGCTAAATTATTTCCTGAGAGCCATATTAAAAAAAAATATTTTTGCGTAACTCATAATTACAAAAAATATTAAGGTATATTTTATTTTATTTTTTATTTTCAGTTAATATATTTATGGGAAAAATATTTCTCCAGTCACCAGAGATAAAATTATATCCAATAAGCTCAAAACAACGTTGTTTTGGGTTATAAGATTAAAAAATTATAATGATAAAAACTAATAAACCCTGCAATATATTAGAATTACAAAAACACATTTATTTTCGTTCCAAAACGACGTCGTTTTGAACTTACCGGAGATAACTTATCTCCATATTGACTGGAAAAATTCTTTACCCTGTATTTATACTAATGTTTAAAAAAATGTCATCTTATTTTAACTTAATTTTTTTTATTCATAAAAAAACAACAAAATCTTAATTTTACCATTATTTCACATTATCTTGAAAATAAATATCAATTATAAACATATTATTTATAAAAATAATAAAATACAATAAAAAAAACCCAAACACTGCTATATTTCCGTTTTCGACCTCGTATACACACGTGATTTTAAGTCCATGGAGGTTGGTTGGAAAAACAATTGCTTCTAGAATTTTCAATTGCGGTGGCTATTCCGTAGTTTTGTAAAAGGAGGGATAGGAATTAAGACTTTTCTCTTTATATATTTTCAATAAATTATCATTTTATTTTTTGTAAAAATTAGGTTAATATTATTTTTTGATTAGTGTAGAATATTGTGATATAATCTCAAACACCTGTATAGTCTTTTTTTAGTTTTAAAATGTAAATCTTAAAGCTATTCTGTTTCAACCTAGCTATGCATAATATTCTGTATAACTGTCATCGAATTGCATTTCAATTTTTCTGGTCATAATCTACTTAACCAATCTGCTTTAGAAGTGAAGAGAGTATTTCGAGATATCAAGAATCATGTCTTCATTAAGTACATATGATACTAAAACATACATAAACGAAAGACTTAACTTATAATCTTGCATTAGCTTACGAAAATACGAGTTAACTTTTTTCTTTTCTTAATTTCGTTTCACATGATATATAGCATTGCATCACTTCATTCTTATCAATCTCAACTCTTTTTCTAACATTCATCTTTCATCCATAACCATACTCAATAGCCCTCTACCATCCGAATATGACAACAAGTGTCAATCCCAACGGAATTCAAAATCGGACAGTGTAACGGCTATAAACAAGACAAAAGGGATTTAGAAATCTCACTCTTGTATCCACACAAAAACAAATCTCACTCTCAATGTTTCTTGATAAACAATTCATATCGTATATAAATGCAGAAATCTCAAACATCAATCAATGATCAATTACCCATCCATGGACACATACATAATTGGCTACGTGTCACTATGTCTAACAGCATACTTAACTCAACATATGCATATATCTGAGAACTACCTTATCATATACATAGGGGTGTTCGCGGTCTGGATTGGATCAGTTTTGGAAGCAAAAATCATCTGATCCAATACCTTCGGTTTAATCATGTAATCATCCATTCGGTTTAGATTTTTTTTCAAATCCGATCCAATTTTATTCGGTTTGAATTGGATTGGTTTTCGATTTTTTGAAAAGCCAAAGATTTGTATGATGATTACGGTGTAAATAACATATCTTTTGTATGTATCAGCTTTGTAAAGTTTCTATTATGATTATTGTGCAATCTAGAAGCATTGTACAATAAAAAGTTAAATTACCATCTTTTACCTCCAACAAAAAATTTATAATATGGTTGCCTGAGATACGAAGTAACCAAAATTTTCATCCTATAGAGGAGTTGTTGTACAACAATAACTCATGTAAAAAAATATATTATCTATCTTACCAAAAAAAAAAGCATAACATAGATCAAGCACAACATACTTTCTCCAACATGATAGGTTAACGGGTCTTGGATTTAAAATTTTGCTATATGGTTTTTGGGGGCTTTTTGACCCTTATAACCCTTTATTAATAATTAATTACCAATTTGACCTTAATTATAAACTATTTCAAAAATTTAACCTCCTAAAAAAATATAACACCAATCTGCCCCTGTTTGACCGTTGACCACCAAGCCTACCCGGGTACACCCCTCGCTACCCGGGTATTTTTTGAAAACTTTTGCCTACCCGGGTAGGTAGGGGTGTACCCGGGTAGTGTTCTTCGAATCTGGGAATTTGCTTGCATTATTTACCCAGGTATGGAGGGGTGTACCCGGGTAAATGTCGTCCAGAAACCCCAATATGAATGGGTTGCGGCCATTGTTGCGAGATTTAGGTTTTTTGCCCCCCAAATCTCTGTCCCTTGAGCTCTCTCGACCGAAACAGCACAAATATATTTCATGTCATCAATTTCTCAACGTTAATCTTTGTAGGACATTGAGATTACACATCCACACTCCTATTTTGTGCTCAAAAATCTGAACCAAGCTCCAAACCCAAAACCTAGACCTAATTTTCGTGTGAAAGATGAGTTCAAGTCCAAACATGGTTCCTGTAGTTATTTACTACAATGGAAGGCATTTTTAAGGTCCGAACGGTGTCCGATTTGAAGGAAAAACAAAAACGATGAAAATCAAACTGGGCAGTACATGCAATGAATTGAAGGAGAGAATTCTCCAAAAAAATGGGGTTAGAAGGCATACAATCCATCCACCGCATGATAGCCAGGTTAGAGACTGTAGTGGATATTGATACAATATACTACATTGGTAACGATATCAATGATGATGAAGATGTGGAGTTCGTAACAGATGCGTTTGTTGGATGGAAAGTATTAAAATATATTGAGATATATGTTGAAGTTGATGCTGGTTAGTCTTCATCTTTACCGGTGCATGCAACCACTACTGCACACTGTACTGGTCAAGAAGATACAGTTGTACGATCTTCCGCACCTCCTCAGGTAGCATTGGATGAGGATGAAGAGGATGAAGATGAGGACTATCTGGACAGCGAAGATGAGGGAGAACCTGAATATGCTATTCCACAAGGTGATTCGTCAGACACTGACGTTGACGGAAATTTTGACGCTAACACGAGTGTGGTAAGTCTGGGCACCCCAGCCTTGTCACCACTTCATGTTGACCCAGTCAGTAGTGGTAAGTTATTAAATTTAGACAATTTATTATTTGTGGTGATATTCATTCAGACAAATGAGAGTTGATCTTTAGATGCAGGGACTGCGGTGGAGCCTTTTTGGAATGAAATCCAACATTATTCATTCATCAATTGGGCGCACCCTAATGACGAGTTGGAGGTCCTATATGGGGATGATGACTTGCATGGAGGTTGGAAGTTAGGAGATCCATTATTTGTGCAACAAGAATTTGGCTCCAAACCTGAAATGCAACATGCTGTGAAGATACATTGTATGAAGGGGCGCAGGACAGCCATAGTTGAAAAAAGTGACGAGTCAAGATTTGTTATGAAGTGTAAAAACCATGATGACGGTTGTCCCTGGTATATGAGGGCAATTAAACCGAAGAAGGGAGCTAATTGGGTGGTCCGTAAATGGGGTCAAGGTCACACATGCCTAAATTAGGGCCTATCACAGGATCATAGGCAGTTGGATTCAAATGTCATTTGTGCGGCTATAATGAGTATGTATTCTACTGTGTATTTAATGATTCAGATTAATTGAGAATATGGTAAAGTTATTTTTTTTCCAGATATGTTAAAGGAAGATCCATCCACAAGACCAGCTCTGATACAGGAGAGGATACAGGGAACATATAGATACAACATAACGTACAGGAAGGCCTGGAAGGCAAAAATGAAGGCCATCGTTAAGTTGTTTGGTGACTGGGAGAAATCGTACGGTTTCTTGCCCAATTGGTTGACGTATATGACACAGGTGAATGTGGGTTCTGTGTTCAAACTTGATACAAATTAATGTTTTGACGAACGTCGGGTTTATACAGACAGGGCCATATTTCACAGGGTTTTTTAGACCTTTCACCAA